TGATATACAGATAATTAGAAATGGGTTAATTAAGATGTGAGAGTTAGCCAAGAAGAGGTTAGATATAATGGGTCAGGCAGTGTTTAAAAGAATACAGTTTCTGGGTAATTATTTCGGGTAAAGCTAGCTGGGCAGTGGGAAGCAGCCTGCTGCTCCTATCACTACAAGAGGCAATACAACAAAGTAGATGGCAGCTCTTTAACTATATGCTTGGTATTTCTTGTTTTTTTTAAATATTTATTTATTATGTTCTGTCTGTGTGTATGCCTGTAGGACAGAAGAGGGAACCAGACCCCATTACAAATGGCTGTGAGCCACCATGTGGTTGCTGGGAATTGAACTCAGGACCTTTGGAAGAGCAGGCAATGCTCTTAACCTCTGAGCCATCTCTCCAGCCCCTTGGTATTTCTTGTTTGAGTACCTCTTCCATTCGTGACAGGGAATGATACACTTTTCTTTTCTTGTATAACATTGAATTACTATTCTTTTTATCCTGTTTTTTATTTTTCCATTCAAATATTTACAGTTCCTCCCATCCTCCTATTTCCCTTCCATTCCCCCACTCACCCTCCTTTCTCTCCCTCCCTAAGCCCCCCCTACATTCAGGCCTAGGAAGTTGTGTATCTAAACAGGTTAGGGTCCCAGAAAGCCAGTACATGCAATAGAAACAAGTCCCAGTGCCTTTATCAAGGGCTTTTCAGTCAGCCCCCATTGTCAACCACATTCAGAGAGTCATTCAGTCCTGGTCCAGTTGAATTTGGTGAGCCCCCATTAGAACAGACACTCTGCCTCAGCAGGTGGACCAACCCCTCACGATCCTGACTTCCTTGCTCATCTTTTACCTCCTTCTGCTCTTCAACTGGACCTTGGGAGCTCAGTCGGTTGCTCTGATGAAGGTCTCTGTCTCTATCTCCATCCGTCACCGGACGGAAATTCTATGGTGATATTTGAGATAATTATTAGTGTGATAGTGGGGCAAGGCCAGTTCAGGCACCCTCTCCTCTGCTGCCCAAGGACCTAGCTGGAAACATCCCCGTGGATACCTGGGATCCCCTCTAGAGCCAAGTCTCTTGCCAACCCTAAAATGGCTCTCTTAATGTAGATATCTTCTTCCCTGCTTCTATATCCACCCTTCCTCCATTTCCACCCTCCCACTCCCCCAAGCTCTTCCCAGTCTTTCCAGTCTCTCTCCCCTCTCCCCTACCCCCAACCCCACTCCCAACTCTATCCAAATCCCTACCCCCACTCTTATGCTCTCAACTTTTGCCTGGCAATCTTGTTTGCTTCCAAATCCAGGAGGATCTATAGATGTTTTTCTCTGGCTTCACCTTGTTATTTGCCTTCTCTAGGCTTGTGAACTATAGGATTAATGTCCTTTGTTCATGGTTAGAAAAAGTGTAGAATATATTCACATTAGAGTATTACTATTCTTTTGATGATATTAGCATGATGATAATGGTGAAAAGATCCCGTATGGAGCAAATATAGAGAATATTATAGCAATTTATTGCCCAGATTAAAATCAACTCTCAAGAATAAGAAAACATTAATATTAATTGATCTGAAAAATCAAATAATCCATAACAATTAGAAGCAAGGAAATAAAAAGGACATCAAAGCCAATGACAGTGAAGCCAGAATTAAGCCAATAAAATGATAAAAATCAGGTTTGTGAAAGTGGAAACACTAGCCAGACAGGAAAAGTTAAAGACCCCTCATAGTTGATCAGAGAAAGAAAAACATGAAATGTCACTATAAAACATAATTACATGAACAGAATACAACTGAAAAGAGTATTCAAAAGGGCTTTGGGTTTTTTTTTGTATATCTGTCTGTACACTGCTTGGTGTGGGTCTGGGTATCTTGAGCTGATCTCTGTGATATCATTTTTTATGCCTCCATGATCCCTGATTTTCCTTAGAGAATGGTTACATGTGATATGAAGTGCACAACCTTTTGGGGTTCCTTCCTTGTTGGGATGGTGGTGAGTTTATATCCATTCCAGAATTAAATGTAATATTTTAATCACACTGTGCCTCTTTGCTCTGGTCTTTACCATGGTCTTCTCAGATGTTATGGCTTATATATCTCGTTATTGAGCTCCTAATATTGATCTTTGGCATGACAGTGTTCTCTGCCTACTATCTCTAAAAAGTGTAGACTCCCAAATCTACTCTACAGTGTAGAGTAATGTGCTCCTGTGGTTCCATTGTCTTCACATATCTGTCTCTCTTATTTGTAGAAATTTTTCATACACGTGTCCTCTAAAGCATGACAGATGTGTTGTTTTACTTTGTTTCATTTTACTTTTGCTTGTATCAATGACTGAGGTTTCATAGTTGCTTCCATGCTCAAATTACACAGAAGGAAGTATTATTTGGGAATCATAACCCAACATGGTTCTTTTATGAAGAAAACACAGACAAGGTCTTATAGCCTAAAGGATGACAGTATGTGTCAACATACAAAATCACACCAGGTTTCTTTTCCATATCAAACAGAGTTAAACCTGTCATGCTAGAATATTCAGAAGAGCTTTATATAAAGAATATTGGAATGACCTTGAGGAGGTCACCTGATGAAGGATTTTTTAAGAGAATTGTAACAAATTTGTATTTTTGAATTTTTGTAGCAGCAATGCATATAACCCATGTACTAATGTGTTATGAAGTATGTGCAATACTAATTAATATCATATATAATAAATGTATATATTATCACAAAAATATTATGTGTGTTACTTCCTACTTAGGTACTAGGAGAATAGTGATTGCAGTGGGGTAACTAGAAATTTTATAACTGTTACCCATGTAAAACAAAAAGTAGCTACTATAGCCTGTGTATCTTTATCTGTTAGTTTGGCTTTTAAGATTTTCCCTGAATTTCATGTATTCTTCTTTTTAATGTTATTTTCTTCCATGTTCAACCTGACCATTCTTTGCCTAAACATTTAATTAGCTGCACAAGTCAGCATGAAAGTCAGATATAGGGATGGTATGATACTCTTTCTGGCCTCCAGGGGAAGCAATTGGAGCATCTGCTAAGAGACAAGTATATACAGAACCCTGGTCTCTTCCCAGCACTGTCCACTCTTAGGAAGGTATTGGTAAAATTTCCAAGTCTGGGAGCCATAGGGCTCTTCAACTAGGAAATGATAGAGGCAGTCTGATAGTGCTGCTGGAATGTGTCCTGCTTTTTAAGGAACCTGTACAGTATTTTAGGGTAACCATAGTGAAAGACAGATGACTTTTTTTTTTTAGAATTTTATCCTTGTTCCTTCCACCCTGGGGACATACTATTGTCCATGGTTGCTAGGGTATAGCAGAAAACGGGTAGCCCAGTGGGACACAACATAGTTAATTACTCACAATAAAATTTCTGGAATAAAACTCACTAAATCCTCCTTCTTTTTGGACATACTTCAAAACTTGAGTGCAGATTAACCACCCTTACAAGTATGCTCCTAGAATGTGAGTCACAGATCAGCTTCTCATTTCCATCCCTCCCAGAGAATTTTTCAGGCAAAACAATATCTTCAATAGTTCAACAACTGTACTGGAGATAACTCAAGTAAATGTTATCTTATGGTTGAAAAGATGAATCAGAGGGTAAAAGTGCTAAATGCTTCAGGCTGCCTATTTGAGCTATATTTCTCAAAACCACGTAAAGTGTGAGGTTCAACAGAGTGCAACTGAAATCCTGCCACTCCTTTTTGAGCGTGGAGGTAGAGAAAGAACTGGCCTGAATGTCTCAGGACTGCTAGCCCTGGAGTACAAAGTACAGCAACAGAAGCTAGAGAGGTCCTGCTTCAACATGGTGGAAGGCAAGAAACAATGTGAAAGTTGTCCTCTGCTGCCCACACCTGTACAGTGGTGTGCATGCATTGACCTCACTCTTACAGACACACACAAATAATTCTTTTTTTTTTCAATTTAGCTTTACCTGAGGTCAGATAGCATGGTTAATTCAGAGCATTTGTTTCTCTTTCTGTGCACCAAAGATTTGTTTTCAGAACTCGCAGGCTAACATTCTAATTCCAGTTCCAAAGAATCAGGCATCTACTTCTGGCCTCCCTAAGCACCAGAACATGTGTAGCCCCATTTACTTACATGCCAGCAAAACACTGATACACATAAGAAATATTTAAAGTGATCTTAACAGTCAACTCTGTCTCCTCTTACCAAGGAGACAGATAAAAGTGGCCCTGTGTAGGAGTTATAGGCATCACTTTTCCATGATTCCCCCATGTGTGTGAGGCATAGTAGTAAAGCTTAGAGGGCATGAGATGTATTCAGCTGTAATTCCTAATCCTGTCTCAGGACAGGATTCTTCTTTTAAATTTTTAGTTTTGTGTTTTGAAGTGTTGGGGTTACTGTCTTTCTGATTGCATGTGACATCAAAGAGTTTGATCATTGAGTGAGAATCCCAGATTGATTCCACAATGCTGAAGTTTAGTAACAACATCACTTTTCCCTTCTCTCAGCCCTAAAGCAGCCATACCTCCAGAGAGCCTGGCTTTAGCTACTTCTCAGTTTAATGACAATCATTTCTCCCAGCCTCCCAAGTTGTCTTGGTTTAAGGCACACTGGACTACTCACACCAGAAGAGCCCTTTGCAGCCCTTCCTGTACTGGGGCTTGTGGTCTAAAAGATCTTCTCTCTTCCCCACAGGGCTGCAGTTTCCACACTCACCCTATCTACAAAAAAGCATGGATCTGGCTTCTTCTATGTACCAATTATCCATGGGTAGAGAGGGATCTGGTTTCTCCTACATCTCATTGCTAACTCAGGACTTTGCAAAGATCAGGTTCTCAGTGAAGGTTTTAGGAAGAGATTCCATTTAGCTTACTTTAGTTTTAATTTTAATTAATTAACTGGAACGAAAGACTAAAAACAGTAAGTCGATCAAAATTATTTTATACTGTTCTTTATTTCTTTTCCATAGTCCAGGAAAGTTTCAAATTTAATGCTTTCATATCTTGTTACATATTACAAATTAGAAAACATTTTTGTGTGTTTTCAAGATAACAAAATTCTCCTAACCTGGATCAACAATAAATGCATTACTAATGTCATTTCTAACCTTAAAAATCTCAAGCAAATAAACCTTATAGTATAAGTAGCAAAATCTTAAAGAGCCTTCTAATGTCATATGAACAGAATAGTAAAAACGAATGGCTCACATTCTTTTCCCAGCAGGCCACTACGTTTCTGCTCTGCCTGCCATAATATGGGATGGAAACCATTAGTGTGATAGAATGTGTGGTGCTCAGAGCAGGAGTAGCCATCTACTGAACTTCAGTGGCGTAGGCCCGCTCTTGCTCCTCCCTCAAAGCCTCTGCATACTTTTCTGGGTAAGATCTAGGATCCTGCTTAACAATATTGGCATAAAATTCCAAGACTTTCATCTTGGTGGTTTCAGCATAGGCCCTTGGGCCCCATAGGAACTCATAGCGAGGAGGACAGCTGTTGGGCACCTGTCTGTATTCCACATAGCCTTCCTGCACAAAGTCTTCAGTAATGAGGCTCTTGGGCTCCCCAAATATGAAATGATTCATCCCAGAAAACAGGCCTAGGCTATTCATCACATCCCAGAACACCTCCTCACTGACACAATTGTCCTCTATGAAGATGATACACAGTACAATTATCACCAGGCCTGTCTTGGGTACACCTAGAACCCCATGCATCATCCCATCATAGGTAATCCCAAGGGCAGGAAAAAGGAAATATGCATGAACAAAAGGGTCCACCTCCATCATGTCAATACCAAAGATCAACATCATACACTCAGAGGCCTTACTAAAGATCACAGAATAGTACTCCTCATAATCTCTCATGGCCCTATTCATCATTTCTGCCTTGGTGGTTAGCTCCATCCTTCGAAACTTAATGAGCAGGAATCTCACTAAATCAACTATCTTTCCATTTAGTATACTCTGTTGGTAAGACTCGGGCTCAGCCACATCCCCTTCTTCATTGTCAGAGGCTTCACCAGATGATGCCCCTCCCATGATAGTGGGAGGAGAGGAAGCTCTCTCAGCACTCTGGGGACCAGAAGACACATCCCCTGAGGAATTGGCAGTGGCTTCTGCCTCCCCTGCCTCAGTTATGGGGATCTGAACATCCTCCAGGCCACTTTCCTCCCTTTGGGCCTGAGGGCTGTTCTGGAGGTTGATGCTCTGGTTGTTCTCAGTAGAATCCATCTTGAGTTTTCTTGGCAACAGCAGGCAGGCCACTGTGCAGGTCACAGAGATGAAGACTTACAAGCCTGAGGAAAAAAAGGAAAAATGTTTAGGCAACTCTAACTCTGAACCTGAGGCATCTCTCAAAAAAGCTTGCTACAGGAGTTGGTTTGGCTGATACTCTAAGGTCAAATGACTATAGTGCTGCATACACTCTTAAAAACCTGAAAGAGGAAAAGACTATGGTTTCTGCAGGCATACTGTTCATCTTACTTGAGGCAAATAACCAAAAGCTCTGTATCTCTGTGATGCAAAGCAAGAAAGTAGGGTGCCTCACATGCCATTTACCAGGTCCTAAGAAATTTGGGCTAACCAGGTAGCCCAAATTAAATAGCCAGACTTTCCTACATATGAGACCAGTTTGAGCCTCACCTGAATAAATGTATAAAGGAAGAGATTGTTCCAGGTGACCCACATGTCTGTATTCCTTAATACTAGGCTCTATGTTTTATGACACAGAGGGAAGTTGAGGTGAAGGAAGGGAATCCAACCAAACTGTCTAGGTTTTATCACTGCTGACAGGAGGGCAGGAAGGTACTGAGTCTCTGTGTTGGGCTGATGGGACTCCCTCATGCCTCACCTTCATACCAATGTACCTGATCCTCCCCTCTGATTGAGTCAAGATGTTCTTAACAGTACTTTCAGCTTCTTTAGACTAATGCCTGGAAATAACACAGGGAATTCAGACTTATGACTTTGCACAACACTGCTGTGGAGAAAGAGTTTCAAGGAAGCCTTTTTTGGAACCCATGTTTGTGCTATGGGGTGGAGTTCCCTCCAACCATCCTATGAGATCCTTACTAGAACTTGTCAGATCCTAAAAGCCCTGTGGTTAACCAAGGTCTCCCATTCTGTTCACTTTTCTCCCCTCCCTGAGATTACTAAAACCCTGGAAAGCAGGAGGCATTATGCAGCTCCTTGGAGGACTATATCTGAAGTCAAGAGAAAATGTACTATACAGACTATATATGCCATGGGTCATGGCTCAGGGCCATTAAGTGGCTTTCTTACTTAAACTAACTCAGGGAAGAGGTGAGAGTTTGAGGGTAGACAAGGTCTAATGTAAAGGAAAAGTCTCAAGAATAGGTGAGATGAACTTCAGGTGGACTTAGGGAACCCATGTCGCAGAAGAGATGAGCCCAGGTCATGAGGTCATCATGGCAGATTCCACATAGGCTTGGATGAGATGTGTCACCTACTCACATCTCCATATTTAGCTACCTCCTCTGAACAGACATTAATCCTAGGATCAAGTACATCTTCACCCAGAGAACGCTCACCAAAAGGTATGCAATTAAAAGTAAAGCCTCAACCCTAGCCGCCCATTCAGGGCTCTCCAGGCATAGGAACTGAGCCATATAGACTGCTGTTCCTTGTTAGTAGATGTAGGGTTTCTTATTACCATTAGTCCTCACTGATTAGAAGTGTCAGTCCAGTCCCTGGCATCTAGCCTTAGCCCCCTGTCCTGAAATATTTGGTTCAAAGCATCACCCCAGCCCCTGGCCTGGGAGCTGCCTTGGTCCAGAGGATTCCACCTCCAGAAAAGCCCAAGTGCTAATGTCTCCCCAGGGAGGGTCAGGACCACTCCCACTGGCTATTTAGGCTGCTGCTGGAAAAGGAAACAACATGGTCTTCCGGTTTTGTGTGGTTCCCTCCCCTTCTCTCTTCCCTTCGCCAAGCTCCCAGCCACCCAGGAGTGCTGCAGTAAGTTGGCATCTTTTATTTGGTCTGATTGGAATTATTTGTGTTGGTGAAGAGGCTTGCCTTAAGAATATTTCTAACATTCACCACATTTCTTACCTGGATTGCTGACAGACACTGGACACCTCCCTCTGGCAATCTCAGGTGGTTCCACTGCTGCTTTGGTGATACCACACAATGTATGGGCTCACCTGTCTGAGGAGGAAAAAGAAGTGAGGACAAAGTCCATCTTGAGATCCCTAGGGATTTATCAATATAGGAAGTAGAATGAAGAGGTTTCCTCTTTGTCTTGAGGATTCTGGAGGTTTTCCAAATTTTCCTCATATGGCCCCTGCTGACCCTTGGATCCATCATCCAGGCCCAGGCCAAACCTGATCCCCACTTAAATCCATGAACAGGATGTTAGAGATGACATTTTTGGTCTCCAATCTTTCACAGAACCATTATGGGCTGACAGTTTATAGGGGAGAGCATATACATTTATTTTCATGTATAATATCAGGTGTATCTTTGTTCCTCCTTTAGGATCCTGATACTGTACCTCTCCAGATCTAAGGCCTTACTCCTCAGAAGTACTCTGCCCTCATCCTACAGGGTAACAAAGGGGGGTACTTGAATCTTATTACTCTTCCTTGGCCCTGCCAGTAATTAGGAAAAAATGGAAGCCCACCTATGATCTAAAGGGCAAGGATCTCTTTTAAACATTTGGGTCCCACTCAGTGCCAGGATGCACTAATTGGGAAATCTCTACCTAGAAAGTGTCTCAGCAGTGCAGTTTCTGCTTTCACCTGGATTGATAATTTAGCTATCTCCCCACAAGGAACCTCATATGCATATGTGTGTGGGGTAGAGCAGGAACCTGTTGAAAGTCATCACCAAGGCATCTGCTGAATATCAGAAAGTTGGCACATGGATCTAAGTTCCCCCAAATCCCAGGAGGCAGTAACTGAAGATAGGGGAGGGGCTCATTCTCACACATCAGCCTTCCTTTGTAACAGTATGGTCAAAAGTATACATGTAGCTTTTATCTTAGCCTATCTATCTGGAGACTGGTTTCTCAAAGTAGACAATGTACCTTTTTATCTTAGCCTATCTATCTGGAGACAGGTTTCTCAAACTACTTTCTGCACTCATCTTGATGGACAGATGCCTGGGCACCTCCTCTTTATAGAGTCTCTTCTACACTAACTCATTGGAGAGTGTGAGAAAGAAACGAGTTTCCCCAAGAAGACCCAGTAAAATTAATGCTTAAGTTTGTTCTAGTTCAGTGATTCTCAGCCTTCCTAATGCTACAACCATTTAAATATAGTATTAATACAGTTTCTCTTTTATGGTGACCTCCAACCATAAAATTACTTTTGTTGCTACTCCATAACTGAAATTTCACTACTGTTATGAATTTTAACATTAGTATCTGCGGTTTCACATGGTTTTAGGTGACATCAGTGAAAGGGTCTTTTGATTTCCAAAGGAGTTACAAAATAGTAAGTTGAGAACCACTGATCTAGATCCCTCTGTCCCCCCCACATGTGCACACAGAAAGTGAAAGTGAAGTCATTATCTAAAGAGACCTCTGAGAATCTCTCTATATTTGTCTCCAGTGAGCACATAAGCAAAGGGTTTATTACTAAAAGAGGATCCCCATTTGGTACAGTGCTCATCACAGAGGTATAGCTATAATATTGTGGGACCATCTATCAGAATTGGAGTTTTCTAAGTCCACTATCCAGTCAGACTTTAATCCTGGAGAAGAACTGACTTTTTCCTCATAACCCTGAAAACTTGCCCGAGCAATCCCCAAGGATGGGCTTATACCTACAAAAAGGCCCCACTTGAAGCCAAACTAACGCTAGGCGTCAGACTCCATTATTTGGGGTTTTTCAACCTTGAACGAAAACTTTGAGCCCACACTCAGTTCTCACCTGGGCTCCAAAAGCACATCAAGACCGGTCGTCTCCCTTCCAAGAACCTCACAAAATGGCTCTGAGCCTTTAAAGTACCCGGAAGCAGAAAGCGTTGACTAGAGTTCCGTCTTCCGGAAACCTCACAAATGGCAGTGAGCCTCCCAAGTACCCGGATGTGGATAGTGCTGACTGGAACTCGGCCTTTAGGAACTTCACAAAATGGCTTGAGCCTCTGAAGTCCCTGGGTGCAAAAAGTGCTAAGGACTCCCAGCTTCCAGGACACTCACAAAATGAATCTGAGTCCCTTAAGTCCCCAGATTCAGAAGGCACTAAGTGTACTTAACCTTTTCCAGAACCCTCACAAAAGGGCTGTGAGTCTCCCAAGTCCCTGGATGCAGAAAACCTGGTGCCCTGTCTCTGAATTGCCTAAGTCCCTAGATGCAGAAGGCGCTAAGAGTACTTACTTCTTCCAGAACCCTCACAAAAGGGCTTTGAGTCCCCCAAGTTCCTAGATGCTGAAAACCTGGAGTGCTAGCTCTGAATTGCCTAAGTCCCCAGATGCAGAAGTCGCTAGGTACTTACCTCTTCCAGAACCCTCACAAAAAAGACTGTGAGTTCCCCCAAGTTCCTGGATAGAGAAAACCTGGTGTGCTGGCTCTGAATTGGCTAAGTCAACAGACGCAGAAGGCGCTGAGTGTACTTCACCCTTCCAGAAGCCTTGCAAAATGGCTCTGAGTCCTTAAACTACCAGAAGGCGGATGTGAAACAGTGGGGAGGGGAGCATATCCACAAATCAGCACTGAGGAATCTTCTAGCCTCCAGGAACCTTACAAAAGGGCACTGACTCATCCAAGTCCCCGGATGCAGATGCGGAAGTTTGGGTGCATGCTCATTGCTACAACACTGCCTCGATTTTATTTAAGACCCTCAAAACAACACAATGTAGCTTGATTATTCAAGCCTCTCCATCTAGAATGGGTTTCTGATATCCATAGTCAGCTTCTATCTGGACTCAAAAAATCACATTGTCCTCTTCCCTCTGGGAAACTGAAATGGCTCCGATGAGCAGAATCTCCCCACCCCCACCCCCGAGGGAGATGAAAGGGATACTCTCAACAAGTCAGTCCAGTTTACAGTAGTGTACATCAACCTGGAGTAACGATATTATCTGTTGTCTGGCTATCCAGAGCAGAGTTTCCACATTCCACTCTCAGTCCTATTTTTACTCTGCAAGTCAGGCACCCCTCTTTGCCTCCAGGAATGACAGAAAACAGTGCCTATTCTGAGGACAGAGCAAAGAAAATAGGAGGGTCTCATTTTTCTACGTTTATTCGAACTAAATCTAGACTGACCCTGGGGATGACACTGAAATTTGTGGGGACCTCCTGTTCTCAAAGGGCCACTGTAGTCTACCT